ATGAGGAAGTTTAGAACAGCTGATTAAAGTCGCATGTGGTTGACGACCGCACCATCGCACATCAAAAATCGATGCGAACGTACGGGATCAGGTCGCATATGACCTCCGGGCATTCGTCCCTGCTATTCATTGTAGGGTTTTTGGCATTGATCCAAAAAGCCTCTAGGAGTTTTCGCGCTGGTGTTCGCTGTTTTTCGCGCCTCGCTAAGACGAAGCACCCCACTAGGCACGCATAGGATACAAAAGCATAGCGGAGACGATTTTGAAGTAAAAGTCAATATCCTTGCACAGGAGTCCAAAACACCAGCGCGAAAACTCCTAGAGGCTTTTTGGATCAATGCCAAAAACCCTACAATGAATAGCAGGACGAATGCCCGGAGGTCATACGCGACCTGATCCCGTACGTTCGCATCGATTTTTGATGTGCGATGGTGCAGTCGTCAACCACATGCGACTATAATCAGCTGTTCTAAACTTCCTCATTGGAAGTCACAAAAAAAGCGGTGGGTTTTTCGAGAAGTTGTTGATCGTGTAATTACCAAAGAGCCTTTCGTCTTTGTGTAAGTGTTATTGAAGCGTTTGACCTAGTAGATTGTACATCAGCATACCCTTCCAGGCTCTGAAGAAGGCGATACTGCCGAAACGTCAGCTAGCGTTGTATTGAATTGTGTTTTTATGGAAGTAAATGTATGCTGTTTAAAAACCTCACGATTGCTGAACAAGAAAACGACACATCTATACTTTTTATTTTTTGGCGAAGAGATGTTCACACATAATGTTGAGTTTTCGTGAAGCGGATATGGGGGTTTTTGTCGATAAGTACAGTGAACCAACTTTCATGTAATTCCTGTTTACTTGCATCTAACTCATTTTACTTGGGTACTTAGATGACCCGTCCTCATTGGTTGTGTAGGCCACAGCATAGTTTCCACTTTTTCGGAGATTTGCTAGTTTGCCTGTCATGGTTCCTTGGAGTCCCGAGGTCAGCCTAGCCGTAGTCTGCCTAGATCGTCACCACAACAGGCAGTCGCCCCTCTTGTGGATTAAGGAGAGATTTGCCACCATACGGCTTGTTTGATACCACGACGGTGATGGTTCCTGGTATTGGTTTACTCTTAGCTGAGCTTCCCGATGGAAACGACGGACTCTGCTTGGGAGACACAGCTGGGGGATGAATCCCACCGCTCTACATCGCAGCACGACACCCAGGAACATCTCCCAGCCAAGATGACGCGTTAAAACATTGGGAGGATTTGAGTCATCTGAACGACCCAATCCACTATGCGCGGCATAATCCGTATACACACATATATATGTATATACATAGTCATAATATGCAGTGAACGAATAAGCATTTATATACGAGTACGTTTACACGAAGTTATAAGTAAATTCGGCGCAATTTTAGCATGGAGAACAATCTGCTGAGTCCATCTACACTTTGGATCAAATAGATTGCCGCTTTTGATTTGAGTTTAACGATCTGTATTCTGCGCTATTTGAAGATAAATAAAATAGCCTTGGTGTTCGTTACATGAGGAGATCTATGGGTTTTTATAAAAGGTTTACGTAGATCTGCATGCTGGCTAAATGTCAAAGTGCTTTTTTTTTTGTTTAAATCTATAAGTACCGTACTCGATTAGTCGAAATTTTTGCGTGTACTACTATTCACCAGTGTGTTGCAAACTTTAGAGGCGGAAATATCAAACCGGTACATCACAGCCTACAATGCTTAACCAGTTACGGAAGAAACAGCTGGAAAAGTTGAAAGATTCGAAGGTTAATGCTGCTCGTAAAGATGGGTGCCGGGAAAACCAGCAAAAAGTGCCGTTGACATTGGCAGAATCAGGTTCGTTTTTTTTTCACTATCGTTGCAATTATCTATTGATATTATTATTTGTAGCTCTAAGTACTGGTAATGATATTTAGAAATCGCTTCCTACTACAAAAGCGAAAACGATACTGCGCGTATTGCTGTAAGAACAGAGGATCTCGATCCTTCCGTGGACGATTACTGGAAAGAGCAAGGTGAGCTTCTTTTAGATTAACATTATTGCATGTGTTGCTTTACTCACACTACTGACTGTTGGTCCGAGTGAGTTGTATTTAAACTGTTTGCTGCCGCAAGCATTGCTTTAATGCATTTTATTTCCTTTTAACTGTGCCTTTTGCTGTGGGTTTCTTTGGTCTTCTCGTAAAAACCTTTATATTATCGTCGTCGATAGTCTCCTTCCGATAGGTTCTTGGCGTTATCTTAGAAAAATTTGTGGTTGCATCAGATCTGCATTCTGCTCTGAGCACAGGAAACTCCCTTTTCTCTTTAGATTGATCAGTTTCTTGATGGTTCGCTACTGGAAATTAAATTCAATGCCACGACCGACATTGATCAAGTAATTTTCTTCGTATTTTTGTTGAGCAAACGCGAGGTGTTATTATTCTTTGTTCACGATTAAGCTGACGTTTCGGCGGATTTCGCCTTCCTCAGAGCCGATTCCTATGAGGTTTCCACTAAGTATGTAACGTAGAGACCAACCGCACAAAAATCACATGGAAGTATAATGTGATTCCATACAAAAACGTCAGCTTAATCGTGAACAAAGAATATTAACACCTCGCATTTGCTCAACAAAAATGCGAAGTAAATTCAATGCGTCTTCCGTCGACATGATTGAATCGTGCAACACGAAATTTGTAGCCAGTAGCTTGGTGCTCTTCCTTTCCAATTTCTGTGACGAACTATGGTTACCTTAAGGCATAAGAGGCTACAAAAATGTTTAGAAATAGCAGAGTACACTGAACCTCTTTGTGAAATGTCAAGATGCCGAGAACAACTTGGCTGAGTGGTAGACTATTTTTGATCACCCACGAAGTGCAAGTGTTCCCTTGAAGTTTCAAAAAATGCCCCAAAACTAGGTAAAATGCATAGAGGAGTGAGCGTTATAAAGAAGAGAAATTGATGAAAGAAATGTGCAGAAAAATTGTCTTTTTGAAGAGAAAAACACAAAATCGGCTGAATTCGCCGTGCGCGTTGATTTCAATGCATTAGGCTTAACCACCAGTGAAGATTAGGCGTAGTCTTGAATTTGTGGGCTTATTGATTTGTTTTGTTGCGTGTTATATTTGACAATTCTTTTTCCTACTACATGGACAAAATATGTAAGAATTCCAGTTTTCGACCATCTTCCTCATTTGCACCAAATTTAGAATGTTAATTTTCTTTCTTCAGACACTTTGGGCTCAGAAGATGATTTAAATGCTAATGAGTTCATGGATTTGTTCCCAGTTGCGTTGCCGTCGCCTCCAAGAGAACTTCTGGAATCGCTGCAAGTTAGCGTTAACGTTTTTCTTGGTTTACATGTACAATGATGAAGGCTTTTTTCTTTTCAAATTCTATTTTAGGAAGACGCTTTCCTAGATGATAACCATACCACTTATGAACCTCATTCAAAGGTAGTCTTACCAAATATTCTTAAATTTCTTTCTTTCTTGTTGTATCTCAACCAGTCTCCCTTTTCTCTAACCTGTTTTGTTTTAATATAACATAAGGGGATGCGCTAATTTTTCGACGGTAACATTTTAACTGAGCATAAAGAAGACAAATAAATTATGAACGCATTCTTGTTCGATTTGTCTTCCCTCTTACAAGGCGGATTTTTGCAGGATTGTCCTCAATCGCCCACAATGCCAGGCATCTTCATGGATTCTTTTCAATCTTCACCCTCACAATTCCCAAACGTTTCTTTATGGGATAAGAAAAAAAGGACAGGCGTATCATTTGCAAATGTGAATGAAACCACAAGCCTACACGGTCGCACGAGAAAGTTGGTGTTATTAAATCTTTAGAGAAATTAGCTCTTTGAAGTTCGGAAGGTCTTTAATTGAATGCTATCAATCACATTGATGTTATCGTGAAATATGATCGTCGAATATACAATTGAACTTTTAAAGAAGATATCACATGGAACGGTTGTAGAGCAGATGTTGTACGATTCGTGTAGTTTATGAAATTTTTGTAGAATGACTGAGCGAGCAGTGGAACTATTGCAAAATCACAAAGATCGTGAGAAGTTGAAACGCAAAGTTGATGCGGTGGAAACGGAAGCCAGCGAACAATGGTGTTTCTGTAGAGAGGTAATTTATCAACACATGAATGACACAAAAGACGAAGGCTGTTTTGTAATTCTCATGTGGACGAAAAACACGAGCTGTTTTGTAATTCATCATTTGCTGCTCCACAGTGTTTTGTTCCTTCATTCTTTCAGGGTTCCAGTGGAAGCATGATTTGTTGTGATGATCCTGAGGTATTGCATTTGCATAAGGATCTCGTTTTTAGCGTAAGAAATTCTCTTCTCTTCAGTGTAAGTACCAGTGGTTTCATTTCGAATGTGTTGGTTTAACAGTTGAGCCAAAGGGACAGTGGTTTTGTTCTGAGTGTTCTGGAAAGTGGCACTAAGGTTTGTTCTCTGTCTTTTATTATTGAAAACTACTTCCCAGGTTTCATGCCTTTTTTTCATATTTCTGAGCACTGTTTGGAAGCCCCTTGTAGGAAGTAATTGCCGTTTTTCCACGTATTTTTTATCCTTGCCTCATAAAATATCAGTTTTTCGTCTCCATGTAATGTTTGCTGTTATAGACTGACACTTGTTTTCTGTTTTCTTGCCGAGTGATTGTGTGCCTTCCGTTATAGTATGGCTCTCTCTCTCTCTCCTTTGATATACTGCTCACTTTAGTTTTGTTCAGCTCAGCTATGATCCAGCGGGTTAGTAGGAATTAGGTCGACAAAGTTCTGTTCTAGACCAAATTATGACGTTTGTTCCTTTTTGGGGAACGGTCTCATTGGGTCTTTTTTATTCGGTCTTTCCGCAGCAAGTGACGCTTATAAGTATATTATTGTATTAGTTGTTCTTAATGAACTGCGTTTCCTTTTTTCTAGGTGTTATTTTACCCTAGATTGTTGTACTGGATCAACGATAAGGATATTGTTCTAATGAAGATTTGTTTGATTTGTTTTTAAATGAAGCGTTTACGATTTCATACTGCTGTGTCATTTACTTACTTGCTTGGATATTTGGACGGCCCGTCCTCACTGGTTGCGCGGGCTTCAGCACAATCTCCATTTTTGGAGTTTTCTTGGTTTAGCCATTGTGTTTTCCTGGAGTCCCTAGGTCAGCCTGGCCAAAGTTTGCCCCACGTCGTCAGCACCACATGCAGTCGCCGCCTTTGTGGATCAGGAGATTTGACTCTTTGCGGCTAGTTTAATACCAGGATGGTGGTCGATCCTGGTACTGGTTTGCTCTTAATTGGGGTTCCTGGTGGAGAAGCCCAACTCATCTTGGGAGACCCTGTTGTGGGGATGAATAACCCCGCTGTAGGTTGCGGCCCGTCACCCAGGAACACCTAGCCACGATGACGCGGTAATCTGTTTGGAGGACTGCGTCATTTAATTCTAACAAATACAATTAGAAGACACTACATATCTTATGGGTAACTTTTTGAAAAGTAACAGTATTTCGTGCCGGAGATATTCGATCTACTCTCATGAAGTTCCTCTTCGCATATGACGATAATGAATTTAATTACAAAGAGTACGATAGAGAACTTCGTCTAAAATCATGGTGCTGACGCTCATTAATCAATGTAGGCGAGAGAAGGATGGTTATGTAGTGCAGCTATTAGAGCAGTTGTGAACAGTCGCACCGTTTTTTGTTTATATTTAGTGGTTACCGACGAACTTATTCGATGAATATCCATAGAGTACAATGTGGTTCAGTCTCCAGTAAAGGTTATCCATTTTCTCAGCAATGATGTAACAGGGCTCGTCTCACGAATTCAAAAGGTTTAAAACTGCAAAGATTGGAATAGGATGTGTCACATCCTCTAATATCAAAACGTTATTTGCTGTGAACCTGTGAGCCGCGTTGAAAGCTTGTTTGAGAAACCAGGTCCTTTATTCCGAAATGCACGAAACCTAATATTTATGACCACCCGTGCTAGGTGTAAAATTGGACGTAGCTCTAATTTCCTTGCAAAATTCACTACTGTTGGTAATTTCCAAGGCCGTGTCCGTTGCTTTTAAGTCCCTCGCCAGACGACATATTTTTCGGTTCTGTACGCCGTAATCTGTCGACCTATGGAAGAGTGTTAGGATCGCCGTCAAAAGAGAATTTTCTGTTGTATACGCAGCAAAGTAAGCATTCGCCATAGCACGTCAAAAACCTGTTGTTGTTGTCTGGTCGTGAATTATGTATGACGAGATTTTTTTCTACATGTGGGTTGCTCTAGATATCTCGAGTTGTCACTGCACGTCGTCGTCCGATTATTGTGGAGGACTGGCACCCTCCTCGTGACTAGGCTGCTATCAGAGTGGCGATGCTTCCCAGTATTAGTTTACCTGGATTTGTCTATAGAAAAGTTCAGTTCAACTTGGATTATTCCATTAACATATGAGCCACCTTAACAAAACACCTGAACCATGTTCCGGCTATCATTAGAAATTGAAGTGCTCAGGGATTAGGTGTACTAAAATCATTAAAAATAAATATTTAGTGGTGCTGAATAGAAATTCGTTCATAGAAATTGATTGAAATATTTTAATTCGAATGTCTTTATGCAATATTTAGTGAATGTTTACGAACAGAAGGTTAATGTCACTCGTCTTGGAGTCGACGATCATGGGACCCTCCAAACACCAACCTAGGTGGGAAAAACCACTTGAAAATTCTGCCTTTGTTCACCTTTAAGAAATCCGCAAATTTAGTGGGAATTTCAAAGTGTACTAGAGATCAGCCACAGATCTCCCTCATATGAGGGATCTCGAGCCCGTTATCGCGAAGCTAGGTGGCGCCTCCCCAGGTGGCGGATATGGGGTTAATCGCGGACCAAATGCGACTCTTGCTTCCCTGAGACGCAGGTGGATCCAGGGGATGGATTCGCTTGTTTTCCTTCGACTCCGCTGTTTCTGCTACGCCGATTTGGCACATACTTTCTGTATTTGCTAGACGTATTCATGCACGCGTGTGAGGGTGCGTTCTCGTTTATGCAGATTGTATTCTACGAGTTAATTTGCCCAAAAGCCTCCAATCAAGTAACAAGGAAGTATATGAGAGGCGGTTAGGAGTCGCCTCCAACAAATAAGCTCCATGTCCACTCTGGGAGAGCCTGGCAAGCTACCCCTGAGTGTACCCAGCCCCTACGTTCAGAGCCCAGCAAGCTATACGTGGGCATCGAAATGCTAAACAGTAAAAAAAATTGCCTGGATTTCAAAGAACTAAGGTGACGATCTGTACCTAGAATGCATGTACACTTGCATCCAAGTCCTCGATAGAAGACCTGCTCATACAAACAAGAAGGATGAGGTACGACGTCATCGGCCTGACCGAGACAAGAAGACGCCAGCCTTTCAAAGCCGCCTATGACACCGAAGAATAACTGTTTCTTGGAACATGCGACAGTAGTGGACTCGGCGGCGTCGGCGTTCTCGTCAACACGAGTTTGTCCATGAACATCGATTCATTCGAACTGCTTACAACCCGAATCGGACGTTTACGATTAAAAAGAAGACAAGTACTAGATTTGACAACCTTCATTCTTTACGCGCCGACATCAAACTATGGCGAAGAAAAAGTCGAAGCGTTCTATAAGAGATTCGAAGAAGTTCTACAGAGGAGACCATGCATTTTTCAAGGTTATCATTGGAGATTTCATTGCCAAGATTGGACCAAGAAGAACGTCACATTGAGACCCACGGATTAGAATGAAACAAACAGAGTGAGCGGCTATCTGAATTTATTACGGCGAGCAAGACCATCCATGCTAATTCGCAGTTCCAGAAGCCCCACCCTCACCGCTGGACGTGGGAGTATCCCAGTGGAGAGTACAATAACGAAATAGACCACATCATAGTAAACGAGAAATTTTACCTAACCGATGTCGCTGTTATCCCAAAATTCTACACGGGATCAGACAATCGTCTCCTTCCTGCAAGATTCTATTTCTCGCGGAAAGGAGAAAAAGCCGCTAAATTCCAAAACCGAAGTCCCAGATCCACCGCAAACTGGGACTTATTCAATTCACCAGTCGGCTGTTGGGAGGATGCCGTTGTTGATAACATCGACGAAGAATACGATCAGCTCATTCAGCATCTTCACGTTAGCTCTTCGAAAGCGGAGAGTTCGAAATTCACTAAGAGACGTTTGTCTCCAGAAACGCGAGCTGATACGCCAGCGTGGAATCGCACGAGCTGCAGGCAACCGCGAGCAACGTCAGAACGCGCAAAAGAATGCAGACAGCCGATAAAAGATCTTAAAGAGAGAAAAGCAGCAGTAATGGTCGAAACTGCAGAGGCTGGGAAAAGTATTCGCAAAGCTTAGCGAAGCTTCGCCAATTGCAAGACAAAAATGATTGCACTCCGGCGCCCAGACAGAACAGTTAGAGAGTCCAGAAAGGGAATGGAGAAAATGATTCACGAATACTACTCGGATCTCTTCGATAGCGAAGTCCACCTTCGTCATATGAAATAAAGGAGGATGGGTATGTTGCTCCACCGGCTCTCCCTTCCGAAATCCGACATGCCATTTCGTCGGTGAAAAATCGAACACCAGGTCCGTACAGGATAAGGCCAGAACACTTGAAGAACCTTCCGCCAGTCCTCGTAAACATACTCGCTTGGTTCTTCACACGTGACTTGTCTGAATGCAAGGTCCCTCCTCAGTGGAAGACCAGCAAGACTGTGTTATTGTTCAAAAAGGGTTACCTACACGATATCGGCAACTATCGCCCAATCTGCTTGCTGTCTGTCTTCTACAAACATTTCACTCGAGTCATCCTAAACAGATTGCCAGAACAATAGATGAAGTACAGCCATGTGAGCAAGCTGGGTTTCGACAAGGATTTAGTACAATGCACCACATCCACAGGATAACAAGACTCATTGAAGTGTCGCGAGAGTAAAAAAGACCGGTCTGTCTCACTTTCCTCGATTTACAGAAGGCTTTCGATTCAACTAAAGTAGAATTAGTCATGGAAGCCCTTGATAGTCAAGGAGTCACTATTCAGCACATAAAGATTCTTCGTGAGCTGTACAAAAATTTTACAACCAAGGTATCACCATTCTACAACGATATCAACATCGACGTCAAAAGAGGGGTTAGGCAAGGCGATACCATCTCGCCAAAATTATTTACCGCCCCCTTCCAGAAAGTCATGCGAACATTGGAATGGGATAATATGGGAGTGAAAGTCGATGGTCGGCAGTTACATCATCTTTGCTTTGCTGATGACACCGTCCTTATAACACCAAACATTAGCCAAGCGGAGCGTATGCTTGACGACTTTGGTAAAGGCTGTGGAAAGATTGGTCTTCGACTAAATCTCACAGAAACGATGTTCATGAAGAACGGATTGGTTTTGTATGCTCCATTCACGCTCAACGGAACGAATATCTCCGAATGCTCC